GTCGTGTCTGTGTGTGCGTGTGGTGAGGTGTTGTGTTTTTGTTTTTGTGTGTTTTGTGTTTTTCTGGTCATGTCAGCGTATGGATTTAACGAACATTGAATTCGAAATCAGCAATCCCAAAATCGTATTCAGTTTACAATAAAGTATTTTTATGTTTCTTAGATAAGAATATTGATAGATATCAATATTGCTCATTAAATAGAATTTTCCATGATTGCAGACGTCATATTGGAACCGCCATGATGTTTTTTTGAATCACCAGACGGCTTTCGATAGAATTTTTAAATATGAAGGTTTTGACACGTCGATCAATATTGACGACTTTTTATTCTGGGCAGCCCACGGTGCCCATTGACGTGAAACGTGCGATATCTTTTGTTAAAATCAACTGCATTGTGCTTTATGAAATGTTTAATTGCAGTGAACGACGGCGCACTGAGGTTACGGGAATTTCCGCCACACTATCACTCACCGTAGCAATATTTTCGGCTGGACGGCCAATAAAAGGCCGGCCTATTTTTTTATTGTCTGCAATCGAACCTTTCTGTTCAAATTTGACAAGTAATCCTTTCACAGCTGTTTCATTCCTTTTACCGAAATTCCACGTGATTTGCGCACAATCTCAGTTACACACTCTCCGTACTTGTAATGAATTTTCAGTCTTGACTCGCCATCCGTCATATAATGTGAAACTGCACAATGCTGCCAACTCTTCGGAATGAAAATGGCGCATAATTCAAATCGTGCTTTACTTTTGAGACACCCTTTACTTACCAAGAGGAATGTGAAGTTTGTTATTATAAAAAGTTGTTCGTTTTGCACTGTAAACATGGAAACAGAAAAATATACTCGTTAATGTATAAATAAAAANGGGGAAGGGGAGAGGGGAGGGAGAAGGAGGAGTGGGGGTGGTCTCAGGTGCCGCCTTACCTACTGCAATATTTTCGGCTGAACGGCCAATAAGAGGCCGGCCTATTTTTTTTATTGTCTGCAATCGAACCTCTCTGTTCAAATTTGACAAGTAATCCTTTCACAGCTGTTTCATTCCTTTTACCGAAATTCCACGTGATTTGCGCACAATCTCAGCTACACACTCTCCGTACTTGTAATGAATTTTCACAGTCTTGACTCGCCATCCGTCATATAATGTGAAACTGCACAATGCTGCCAACTCTTTGGAATGAAAATGGCGCATAATTCAAATCGTGCTTTACTTTTGAGACACCCTTTACTTACCAAGAGGAATGTGAAGTTTGTTATTATAAAAAGTTGTTCGTTTTGCACTGTAAACATGGAAACAAAAAAATATACTCGTTAATGTATAAATAAAAATGTGTCAAATATAGTGATTTCGTTTATTGGAAAATGATATACAAAACATTACTTCAATTAATAATTGGTAACATTTATAAAATGTCTTAAGAAATCCTAAAATTATGGCAGTTTTAAGTACTTATTAGATAATTACTCATCAAATGCAAAATTGGGGAGTTTCCCTTTATCTGTTCCATCTGAAAAACTCTCTTCTGTTGCTTCTGACGCTTTGTGGTAATCTGCTCTCAGAGTGTACTCTCGGTATTTTAAAACTCTGCGGCTGCATCGGTTTGGTCACTCTAACGTGCCTCCAGTAGCACCCAGCCTCGCTTGTTAACATATTCTGAAAATAATAGGATTAAGTGCGCTAAAATATTTGTACCAAAATAGAAACTAGTTATTTATGCAATAAGTGTTTAAAATAACAATTTAGCCTTGAGTGAAAGGATATTTTAGACACATTGCATTTACTGCAAAAAATGAAGGTTTAAATTCTAAGAAAAGTTTGTATATTCCATTTTAATTTTCTAAAAAAAAAAATTTCTTGTCAATTTATTGATGTTAAAAAATCAATATCTAGTTCGAAATAATATATTTCACTAGGAGTCTAGAAATAAGGATTTTTCCGTGCACATGTGACAAATTCTTGTACGGAAAAATCTATCGTGTAATGAACGACATTTTTTATTATACTTCTTTGAAAACGAAAACATAAAAACAAAATATAACATAAAAAAGCCAAACGAAAAAAACTTGGAACATTTTTATTTTCATAACAGTTATAGAAATAAATTTAAAAATGTAGAATAAGAATATTGAAAATTAATTAGGTAACTAACTAGATAACTATTAATAATAACAGTTCCAACTGATAATGTTTTTAGTTTGAATTGTTATTATTAATTTGCACGCTTAACAAAACCGTGCGCTTTTCAAAATAATATCGTACTCGATTCAATTTTTCAAGTAAATTTAACATTTTTTTTACCATTTTTTGTTAATTACGAAAAATAAATATGAATGTTTGGTTTCATAGCTTCTTCTGTTTTAAATTTTTACAAAACATGTACAGCTAATCACTCTGTATACCATGAGGTAAGTAGTAATGTTTAACTTATTCAAAATAATCCAGCAGAGCAGAACAAACCTAAGCTTTAGACACGGTGAAGTGGCAGTAAGGCCAATGCCCCTCGACCATTTCATCAATTCCCGCATATCGTAAAGACAGATGAGAAATTAAATATCTATTGAATCTTGACGGAAGAAACAAACGTGTTACCTCAAGCGTATTCTGCTCCATATCGGCAATAGAAATTGAAAAAAAGGAATTATAGAAATATATCAGAAAATTTAATTCACGGTAAATAGCACCCAATTAGATAAATGCGAAGAATATACAAAGATTTAATATGTACCATATCACCCTGAATAACAATAATTACACAGCCACACAAAAAAAATAAAATATTTTTCAAGTCTGACTATGTCTATGTGTTCGGGGTAGTTGAATTTGAATCCGTGGACCATTTAAACCCAACTCGTCAAGTTTTACCGATAACCCTATATCACCTCATAAACCAAGCTGTCAAGTCCAATTACCCACAACGGTCCTGTAAAGGGACCTGTGTTCCCACAATAACCCCATAATCCTATACATTCACCCTCAAACCTCCTAACCCCATGACCATATATTCCCATAACCCCATAACCGATAACTTCAACAACCACGTTAGTTTAACTTGCTCTCTCATAGCGGGATATATCAGGGTTCTATAAACAGAATATATTTAACCCTATAATCCCTAACCCCCTAACCCCATAACCCTATAAACTCGTGACCACATAACTCCCATAACCACCTTACGCAGTAGTTCGATTGTTTGATGCAAGGAACATAGTCTATATCGTTATTGGCTCCCAGTTTCATCATCTCCATTAGATTCTCCGTCAATTTAAAAAATATCATGCCAACTGAAGTTTTATTTCGCGGGGCCCGCTTTCGCACCCTGACCAGCCGCCGATTCTGGGCATCCGAAACCCTGTCTCGTACGTCTTCCACCTGTGTCTGCCGTGACGGCATGAAAGCCATGATCCAGAGACTCCAGGGACTTGGGTTAGTATCCGCGAAATAAAGCTTCATTTGGCATATTTTTTAAATTGACGGGGAATCTACTGGAGATGAAACTGGGAGCCAATCACTATATAGACTATGTTCCTTGCATCGAACAATTGAACTACTGCGTAACGTCGTTATTGGAGTCATGGGGTTGTAGGGTTGTGGAGTTATAGGGTTACGGGGTTAGGGGCCTGGGGGATTATAGGGTTAATTATATTCTGTGTATAGAATGATATATCTCGCGATGAGAGAGCAAGTTAAACTACTGAGTAACGTGGTTATTGGAGTAATCGGTTATGGGGTTATGGGATTACAGGGTTTTGGGGTTAGGAGGTTTGGGGTTGAATGTATAGAATTATATGGTTATTGTGGGTGCACAGCTCCTTTTACCGTTGTGTGTAAATAAGACTTGACAGCTTGGGTTATGAGGTGATATGGAGTTATCGGTAATAACTGACGTGATGGGGTTAAATGGATCATGGATCCGGATTCAGCAACCCCGAAAACATAATATGGTATACATTGTCTGATCTTCAGACTAGAAAAACATTTTGTTTGTGTGGCGCACTTATAATTGAAAACAAAACAACAATTCAATTTATTTTTAAATCAAGATAAACATTATTATTAATTTTGAATGAAGATAAACCTTAATCAGTTAGGTTAATCACACATTTTATTTAGAAACGACATAACATTTCGTTTCAATACCATAAAACATTATTAACTTACATTGTAACTGTCAGGTGGATTTGACATATACTGCACACCGCTGGGACAAATTAAAACCGCCCTGTATCTACCAGCACTATTATGGTTGGCAAACGTCGCTTGCTCCCGAACTGAATTAGCTACTTCTGAATCGTATTCGTCTAAAAAAAAATTAACGTTAATTTTACCAAATAATTGGATGACACAATATTATTTTTATAATTCATAAATTTTCTAATACTATATAATTTATCTCTCACTGCTGCGCGACGGAACCATGACCACCGCTGTAAACACTTTACAGATTTGGGAACGAGCTACGGCGAGCGAGTATTTTCAAATACATTTTGCAAGTCGAGTTAAATTGACTGTACAGGGTGGTTGATTTTCGATAGTTTTATAGGGTACAGCCAAAACGGTGATAGATACAAAAAATCTGATATCGATGTCCCGTCCTCTTTTTTTGAGTTTACTTCGCTGGTCCCAAAAGATCTTGGCTAACTTGATTAGTTTTAGATATACAGGGTTTTTTTGAAAAATGGCCCATTTACATTAACCTCTCTATCTCCGTTGTCATTCAATTTAGAAGAAAAAAGTGTGCACATTATTTGTTCTATTTTTTATTAGGAAGCCATTGGCGTACTCAGATTTTTTACAAATCGCACAGTTTCTCCGATATTGCATAAACATAGGTTTTTTTAAATAGAACACCCTGTATTTGGCCATCCCGTTGAGTAGCATTTTTTTTTACCTTTTCAGCCATATATAATAATAGATACTTTTTATTTGCCTAAATGAAGAAAAATGCAAAAATGTAGATATAGATATTTTTTCAGTTGGCCATGTTATTTATTTATTCGTCTTTTGTTGTTTAATATTGACAGTTAGTTTATTTTTGACTGATTGAAAGCTTGTTAAACGTCTATTACTTGGTTTTAATTTTGAAAAGTATAAAAATGGTGTACGAAAATCTTCACAAAGTTCAAATGTTAGAGTGTTACATTGAAAGTGAAAAAAATAGTGACACAGCTTTAAACTTATATTTGGAGAGATACCCAGAGCGTCATCAGCCAGAAAAGAGAATTTTTAGCCGACTCTATGATAACTTGTGTGAGTTTGGTTCTTTTCAAAAACCGAGAGCTAAATCTTATAATATACAGAATAGAGAAAATGATGAAATCAATACTTTAGCTTTTGTTGTCGCAAATCCCAATGTATCCAGCAGAGAAATTCAAAGAACGATAGGAATTGGTAAATTCAAAGCATTGAGAATTTTAAAAAAACACAAGTTTCGACCATATACTATAAGAAAAGTCCACCATTTGCATCCAGGAGATGAAGAGAGACGCGTCATTTTCTGCCAATGGTTTTTGCAGCAAACTCATGTATACCCCAATTTTTTTCAAAATGTTATTTGGACCGACGAGGCTTTTATAAGCAGCGAAGGTATATTCAACCGGCATAATGCGCGTTATTGGTCAGATGTTAATCCTCACCAAACTGTGGCCAGAATTCAACAAGGGCGATTTGGTTTTCATGTATGGGTAGCTCTCTTCCACAATAGAGTGTTAGCTTACGAAATGTACGATGAAAACCTTAACGCTCAGAGATATGTGAGAATTTTACAAGAAAATATTATTGAACTGCTGGACGATATGTCACTAGCTCAACGATATAATATGTTCTTTCAGCATGATGGTGCGCCTCCACATAATTCCCACATAGTTAGAGAATTATTAAATCATAATTTCGGGGACAATTGGATCGGTACGTACGGACCAAACAGGTGGCCGCCTAGGTCACCAGACCTAACCCCTATAGACTTTTATTTTTGGGGGGATGTTAAAGACAAAATTTATAAGTATAGAGCTAATAATGTCGAGGAGCTAAGGGAACATTTTGAAAACTATATTCAGCGGGTGTCAAATATTCACATTTACAATGCGACCCGTTCCATTGCCAAACGTTGTCAGTTATGTATCAACGAAAATGGCCGACAATTCGAGCACTTGCTGTGACTTTGTTATGTCATTTTTGTTTTATTGTTGTTTCTCTCATTTTATAGTTGTTATTTTTGTTTAGTTTATGTTTAGATAATAGTTATAAGTGTACCTATAATTAAACCTATTAAGTAAAGATAAATGGATAATCTAATTTATTTTTTTTTTAATCTTTTAGTCTAAGTTAGGTGCTTAACATAAAAATAATAATAGAAAACGAAGAGACCAATACTAAATATAACAATAAATAACATGGCCAACTGAAAAAATATCTATATCTATACATTTTTGCATTTTTCTTCATTTAGGCAAATAAAAAGTATCTATTATTATATATAGCTGAAAAGGTAAAAAAAAATGCTATTCAACGGGATGGCCAAATACAGGGTGTTCTATTTAAAAAAACCTATGTTTATGCAATATCGGAGAAACTGTGCGATTTGTAAAAAATCTGAGTACGCCAATGGCTTCCTAATAAAAAATGGAACAAATAATGTGCACACTTTTTTCTTGTAAATTGAATGACAACGGAGATAGAGAGGTTAATGTAAATGGGCCATTTTTCAAAAAAACCCTGTATATCTAAAACTAATCAAGTTAGCCAAGATCTTTTGGGACCAGCGAAGTAAACTCAAAAAAAGAGGACGGGACATCGATATCAGATTTTTTGTATCTATCACCGTTTTGGCTGTACCCTATAAAACTATCGAAAATCAACCACCCTGTACATTGCAAATTTAACATTTCCTTTTTATTGTTTCATAAGACAAATCTATTTAATTGTCTAGATGACATTGTAAAAAAATTAGATATCGCACTCATTATACTTAAATTCTTTCAACTTTACTCACCTTTAACATCAACTGTAAAATGACAAAACGCTCTATTTCCTGCTTCATCGCTAGCAACATAGGAAATATGATGTAAACCTAAGCCAAATTCGCTTCCAGGTTCCTATTGAAATAAAAAATTAAGTCTTATCTGCAGTTGAGTATATTAAAGTATGAATATCCATGTGGATATGTACTCTACAACATTACAATAAACTAAGTCGAGATTTGCAAAGTTGTTCCCAGACATCAGTAATTGATACACATAAACTTTATATAGCGACTCGAAATTATGTCATGTTTCATGACCCAAAATGATGGAACAAAATTCATATTTTTTTTCGTTGAAATTTAAAACAAATTGCTGAAACAGGTCAGTTAGTAAATAGAAATTGTCACTTTTCTGCAATATTTTCTATTTCTTCGAGACATGTTTGACAGACCTATAACATTACCGACATTTTTATTAATAGGACGCTCTATATTTTATAGTATAAATAGATAGCCCTTCTAAAGACGAATTCAGCAATATAAGGTTATACCTACTTTTATGTCATAGTTGTCAAAAAATGGAGGAATAAAACGAAAATAATAATTTAGTACCTACTAGTTTTTATTTTATTACAGCAAATGTTCAAAGTGGCGCCCATTAACCATTGCACAATGCCCAATTCGGTGTTCAAAGTTATAAATTACATTTTAAATAACATTTGGTGTTATATTTCGAACTTCTCTGATATGATTTTTCAATCCTTCGATAGTGTCTGATCTGTTCACATACACTTTGTTTTTTAGATAACCCTACAAAAAATCTAGTGAGGTTAAGTCAGGGGAGTGTGGTGGCCATTCAAGCGGTCCTCTTCTGTTTATCCATCGATTTGGGAAAACTTCTTGTTGGAACCAGACATCAGCAGCAAGCATATCGTGCTCATTAGGGTTAGGAAGAATTAATTCATTCCAGGGCTGGATTCAGCTAAAAACGCAGCAATTAAATAAATGTCGCCTGTCACATTGCCCTCAAAGACATAAGGTCCCAATATGCGATTTCCTACTGTTCCAACCCAAACATTCACTTTTTCCGGCCATTGTGTATGTTTTTCTTGCATCCAATGCAAATTTTCTGAGCTTCAGAGCCTAGTATTTTGCCTATTCACGATTCCGTTTAAGCAAAAAGTTGCTTTGTCATGTGATTTTTTAAGTTGGGTTGTCTTTCAAATAAATTTCTAATTTTCTCGTAAAACTGTAATGTTCTATCTATATTATCTGCCCATAGTTCTTGTAAGACGTTAACTTTGTAAGGACGCCACATTTGAGACTTCAGAGTTCTTTGAACTGAGGACTTCGACAAGTTGAAGTTGGCTGAGATGGATGAGTGAGGATTTTCAGTAACGGCGAACATCACATTTTGGCGGTGATTTTCGCTTATTGTTCTTCGCCTTCCTGATTCAGGTAAATCTTTTATACTTCCGGTTTCAAACTTTTTGAATACTTCTATTTTCTATTTACTAATTGACCTGTTTCAATGATTTTTTAAAATCTTCCATCATTTTGGGACACAGTGTATTTTAGACACGTAATATTCCTAGAACGCTATATAGAAAAAGATTGGGTAACAATCAAGACTCAGGGTATTAGGGGGTCTCGGGTATTCCCTTCTAGTTTTTAAAGTATAAGTTAATGAAAAAGTGCACCAAGTCTCCTCTGTACCATGAAATCTGGAATTTGACAAGACCATTTTATGTCCTAACTTTCCAGATATAAAATTAAATTTTCTGTTAAAATATAGTTTTTGAAACAAATAACATCCTTTATAGTCCAGTATACAAAGGTAAAAATAGGGTATTACCTCCGAATTCTTGACACTCGCACCGATTTTCATGAAAATTGGTGAGTAATCTCATTTCACCCTCTTTTACAAAAGTTACATATCCATAGTGTGTGCTTATTGTTTTTAGGGGGTGAAAACTAGCCCTTCTTGCAAAAAACGTAAAAACTATAGATTTGAGTGTTATGTCAATAGAATAAGCTTTCTTTTATGTTTTGAATAATAATTTTTGATTTGTAGCAACATTCCAACCCATAAAATCCACCCTTTATGAGGGAAAAAAACAAAAATTAATTTTCGCGGCCCTGAAATGTTTTGACGGAACAATATTTTTTACTGTTTATGAAATAATACATGATTTATTGCAACGTTTCAACCCTTATTGCAGAAAATAAAGCAACAAATTTTTTTCACATCTTCATAGCATTTATAATGAATGAAAGACTCATCACTGTTTGTAATGTTACTGATGATTCATTTCAACATTTCAACCCTTAAAAACAACCCTTAATGAGGAATTGAAAATTTTTTACCTGCTTCAAAACACTCAACGATACATTACTAAATTCAACGAGATTACTTAAAACTCGAAACTTAAATTATGTAATTAGTGAAAGAGAAAATAAAAATTATTTGTGTATTATGCAATAACACTTTATTATCAATAATTTACATAGGTATCATTAAAGAACTATCAAGAACTGTCGACTTCCTCTGTTTGGTCTATGATTGGAGGACAATTTTGGCAACTGTTCCCAGAACATGTTCCGTATGTCGCATTACAATAGAGTCCAACTTTGTGACAACTGCAAGTCGCATCGCATCCTTTTTTGCAATTGCAAAATATCATTTTTAAAAGTTCTTAGGTTGCAGGCTGGTTTAATATTTTGATTGGCTGGAGAGAATTTTCATTTTTAATCCATCCCCAATCAGTTGGACTAATGCTATCATTATCAAGCCACACCTGAATTTGTTAAAAAACTCTCTTAATGTGTTGGTCCAGAACATCAACTGTGGGGACAAGAGATGACAGTTTCACAGCCGTTTTCTTGTTAGTAGTCTTAACGAAGGACTCGAACCGGAAGCGCTCCAGAACAGATGTAAAGTCCTTGATGTCGCCCAATTTTTGAGCCTGTATTTCTTTAGCAGCTTCGTATAGAACTACTGTGCAGTATCAACCGGCTTCTAAATTTTATCTAATATTGATGTAGGGTTTTAAAATACATCCGCCTTGTCTCTCACATCTGGCCGTTTTTCCATTAGATTAAAAAATATTTTTTTGCCTTTATTGAAAAACGTCGACGTTGTATCGCATCCAGTAAAACAATGAGTGAGAAAAAAGTATCGATTTTGTATGTTTGGATACAAAACTTCAAAACTTTTAGAAGAATACAACACAGATGAAACATTTTGCTTTCCTAATTTCAGAAAATAAATTTCTTTGCAGTTAGAATTACTAAAATATCTACATCCTCTGCAACTATTACTGTTTGCGCCGTTGAGTCCTCTTAAATCGCTATTTTTACTTTTAAATCATATGCTTCTCCTTTTGCTTGGTGGTATTTTATATATTTTTCTTCCAAATCTTTTATAAGAAATTCAATGAATCTGCTTTTATCGGCATAGTTCGACAGAAACTTCCGATCCGACAATTTTCACTGAATAATACAATTCGTTTTTTCACGATAACTTTTTTAATTTTTAATATTTTTCATGGCTCCAAAAAGCAATTTGCAGGGAATTTCAAGAGCTACACATCAACCTTTATAGTTGAAGGGTCTTGAACTCTTCGTTTTCGAGATTTTTAGGTTTTTAGAGGCTTAAAGAAGGTGGTCCTTACACGCAAATGCAAACTAAAAAACGTAATATCTCAGTTAATTTTTAAAAATTAAAAAAATATATATTCATTATTTCAAACTTTTTTTTAAATTTAGGCATACTAAACCGCTCAAACTTGCAGAGCCTATTATTACTACCTAAATAAAGTCAACTGTACATGGATTACGCTTAGTTTCTATTTTTATGGTTCAGCCATAGATTTTATTGTTAATTTTTTCTCCGAAAAAATGAGATGACCATTTTATTTTCATCATAACTCCGCCAGTTTTTAAGCTATGAATTTTTTTCAAAAAGGTTATATTCATTTTCTTTGAAAAATTAGTTCTTTCTCCATTATTTTACGGTAAATGGTTCGATTTTACTTTCCGAAAAATAAAAAATCACCGTTAGAGAGTGATAACTCGGTTATTATTACATCTACGTAATCAACAAAAATGAATCGATTCGTTATTTCAAAAGCTTTATTTTTGCTTTATATGGGTTTTTCTATAAAACGCAAAGTTTTCAAGTTATTTATCAAAAATGGTTGAAAATCAACATTTTCAATAGCATTTATTGCTTAGAATTCATCCCTCTATTGATTTTTGCGGTTAAAATGGGTGCCTTTATTGCCACCCCCGATAAGGGGTGGCATTCACCTTCAGGGTGAAAGCACACCAATACACTATGTAACTTTTGTTACTTGTGCAATTTTCTACTTATTGTTAAAATTTCACGTCAATCGGTGCATGTGTTAAGAATTCGTCAAAAATACCGTCATATACGGAGCTATTAAATATCATCAAGCACTGGGATTGAAACAGTAAATAACACGTTTTATGTCATCAAATACACGCATGAAACAGTCGATTGTTATCAACAGTGTCTTGTAAACAACTGAAATGAAAACTATATAGGTGGTGAACGGAGTACGACTCTGTTACTAGCCGCGTTTCCCCACCTTTAAACTAATAAAATAATTACTACTCACCCTAGACTTGTAAACGGTTGAAATTCCAACGTTGTCATAAAACATTGGTTCCCGCCAATGAATGATCTGCATTTGCTCGTTGCTCATCAAAGCCCTTTCGAGATTTACCGGGCAGCCCACGACGCGCGGGGGTTCCTTGTCTAAAACGTTGACCGTCAAGCTGCAAGAGGCCGAGGAACTATTGAAATCGCCCGGTGCCATGGCTGTAAAACGAACTTCCGACCTCCCTGCCGGCAACGTAGTCTCCAAACGCTTTCCCCAGGATGGGTAGGAAGTTACGTATCTGAAACATTAATATCGGTAAACTATTGCACGGACCGACAAGATTTTAACCCAACAACGCGAATATACTTTCCCAAAGGATTTTGGTGCGCTGAATTCGAATCCGAGGTCCAAATTTCCCAATTGGCTCTGGTTTTCGAGATATCCTAACCTAAAAGTTCCAAAATCGCGATTTTTTTTACATATTTGAGGTTATGTTACATGGAAAGGTATTTTTTCTTGCTGAAACCATTATGGGGTCTTAAAGTACTATACTTCCTCTTTAAAACGCACTTGGATTTATCCGGATATCATTTTTCGTCTTTGAGAAATCGCATGTTGAAATTTAGTAGTTTGACTTGTTTCTCGATGTTTAGAGTTGATTGGTTTGGAGTTTATGGGTTAAGGGTTTATGGGTTTATGGGTGTTGGGTTCTTGATTCACATTCTTGAAATTTCTAGTGGACTGTATTTTCTGGTTCGGGATGAATTATTCTATATTTTAAAATAATAACTCCGATAAACTTTCTACTAGCAAAACAAGCTTACGCCTAAGATAACTAACTAATAGACTAATAAACAAACAATGGGCTTAGGGTTTTTGGACTTGAAAAAAAAAAATGCGTGAACATTTATGCGTGGAGGGTTGATTATGAAACATTGTGTCATTGGGATTTCTGATGAAAGTTGACGTCAAACAAAAAAGTATCCAATACTAAAGTTGTAGAACATGCAAAGATTTACAACTTTTGTAGAGAACACTTTTTAACATAACCTCAAAATTTCCGAGAAAAATGCGAAAAACAGGTTTTTTTCTGACTTTATGTTTTTTATTTCTCATTTCCGCAAAAATAATTTAATTTTAACGAAACTTGGTGAAAGTATATTTTTCTGTGTCAACTAACCACAAATTGTAATTCGACGTTTCGTTTTCGAGGGGCCATTATCGGGTTAATTTTTTCAATACGTGGCTGCTATTTTTACGACAAAATCGAAACAGATTTTTATTTCTGAATTAGAGGATATTACTATTGTAATTGCTTAAAAAGTTTTTAGCTTGCTTTAGCTATCATTTAAAATTTTTCCTGAGTACGGCTCTGAAAACTTTCAAAATATCTATTCGATGGTCATAACAGTATAAAAGTCAATACCGCACAAAATATCCAACAATTTTTTTTACTACTATTAGCAATACCATTTAGAAATAATAAAATATTTCATAAATTCGTATTATTTTTTTATTAGGTAGATACAACTTTTTAAATTATTGATTAAAAAAAATTGTTGGCTATTTTGTGCTATATTGACTTATTCTCTTCTCTCTCTCCTCCAATAGATACTGATATTTTGAAAGCGTTTAGAGCCGTACTCAGAAAAATTTAAATAGCTAAAAACCTTTTTAAGCGATTACAATAGTAATATTATCTAATTCAGAATTAAAAATGATTTTAGATTTTGTCATAAAAATAGCAGCGACATATTTAAAAAAATTAATCTGATGATTGCCCCTCGAAGACGAAGCGTCGAATTGCAAAAATGTTGACGCCATTATATAGAGCAAAAAAGTGGCAATGTAAATATGCAATTTATTTCAAATTCGTTTTCAAATAAAGCCAGAAAAAAAATCAAACGATTTTGCAAAATTTCGGGTTTCGGATTTCGCGTCAACAGTAGACTTTGCAGTTAATACTTTGTATTGCTGAAATCTCAAATCATTCAGAGATAATTTATCATTTGTGCATTTGTAATTCCACTTAGATGTTTATAGCAATACTGTACAAAAATAAAGTTTTGGGTCAAACAATAAGACACAGTTTATTTTTTATTTTTTTCCGTATAATGTTTTTTAATTTAAACAAATTATTATCAACAATAACTGAAAAATTCATTGTTGCAAGTCATTTTTTATATTTGAACTGTGATTACAGATTTTTTTATTTCACCAAAAAGTATATGTCAAAACGAAAAAATTATTACCGGCAGAACTATGTACGATCATTTTTCTAAGTAGAATTTTTCTTTGAAAATAAAGTGTTTCAGACCGAAAAAAATGAATATCTCAGAAGCGTCTTGATTTTTTTATTTAAAAAAATTTGTGGATATTTAAGACACAGAAAGGTATATTTTCACCAAGCTTCGTTAGAATTAAATTATTTTTGCGGCAATGAGAAATAAAAAACGAAAAATCAGAAAAAAATAACTTTCTCACATTTTTCTCGGAAATTTTGAGGTTATGTTAAAAAGTGACCTCTACAAAGTTGTAGATTTTGTATTGGATACTTTTTTGTTTGACATCAACTTTCGCCAGAAATCCCAATGATACAATTTTTCATAAATTTTCAACCCTCCAAATCAACCCTCCGCCGCCGCTGCTCACGCATTAATTTTGTTTAGGTTTATTATAAGCCCTTTTACCATTTCCACTTATAAAAGTCCAGGTAACAATTTTTTTTTTCTCCAAGTGTAATTTAGTTGGACTATTTGCGTATAAATGTGTTTCCAGATTGATATAATGCGTAAAATATCGGCCATATATCGAAGTTTTAGACATCTTTTTAAGTGTATTGCAAAATTTGACGTGATAGAGTATTTTGAAGTTCAGATTCATGTTCAACGACCCCAAAAACATGTAAGATTCCTACTTCCAGGTGCCGATGAATTCAAGTTTGTGGTGCTGTGTTGTCAGTATATTCAAAAATCGAGAAATAAGTCAAAGTACTAAACTTCAACATGCGATTGCTAATTGAGAAATTTGGACCTCGGATTCGAATTTTGTCGGCTGTGTTATGTAACACATTTATTTTTTTCAGTTTCAAATTCTTATGATGTTCTCTTCGGAAAATATTGTCAATTTGCCTTTACTTTTTGCAATATCCTCGTAATTGGTTAAAAATTTGTTTTTTTAATTTTTTTAACGTAACCATTTCATAAAAAAAACCAATTAGATAGTTTTGTTGGTATCAAGTCATAACGTACCAAAGAAAATCTTCGACAAATTAAGTTTTTCTCTATCCATTACTAATTATGGATACTCAAACTACTTAAAAAACTGGAAATGGAGAACATTCTATCATTATACATGGTAGAATGACAGGCATTTATAAGATAAACATAAAAAAATTATAGATATCTGCTTCAACTATTTACCTGTCAAAATCCACATTGGTTTCAGGTCTAGGAATTTTCACGATCATTTGTCGTTGACTTGGCGGTAGAACAAATTCCAGAACACCACTTCCTGGACATTTTATATAAACGTTTGATACATCTGTGAAAGGAAAAAGTTTAATTCTTCATTTATGTAAATTCTAAAAGTAATATGAATTAGGTACCTTTTACGCAGGCCACATTTAAGTTGTCAGATATAACGGAGGGGCTCCACTGCAAATCTTCACCACACACGTACTTGTGGAATTTTATATTTCTTCTATAACCCTTCTTGCAAGAAATTTTGCACGTCTCCCCTAAGAACCTCTTACCGGCGTTGCAAACATCCGGTACATACCATCCGTTCCGAACATCAGGCAAGCTTGGACATGATGCCACTACAATAGAATATAAAGGTGATTTTTATTTCATTATCTCATAAATCTATAGTAGGTGGAAAAACTATTACCTACACAAAACGGCTCTTCACCCTCCCAGACCCCGGAATTGTTACAAATTCGTTGAGTATTCCCTTCCAGTTTAAACCCTTTGTTACACCACATGTTACACTTGGTGCCAACTGGAACTGATCTATTTGGATCAGAATTTTGATCCAAACATCTCATAACGCCGTTTTTGGGTGGTTTCGGAACTCTGCAGTTCGTGGTACTGGTGCCTAATTTGCAGGTCCTCTTATCTTTCTAGAAAGGAAATATGAAGGATGAAAGCACAAGAATAAATAACTTCTTGTTGTACTGTTTACGAGATTATACAGGATGTCACCTGTCACCTAAGAATGTTACATACATCAAGGGTATAATCTAGAACCCAAATGGGATCGATTTATCCAAACTTGCTTAAACGAAAAACGTTGCAAAAGAAGTTACAGGGTGTTAAAGTTTCTTTTTTTATTTCTTGTTTTCTTCTCAGAACCCAGTTAATAGATTTGAGCAAAATTTGCTGTTGTTTAGTTTATTTTCAGGAAGTATGCAGTGATTATGTTCCTATTAAGTTAAATGATACAGGGGCCTTAATTTGACTAAAACCCTTTGTGAATATTCTTCTGTAATTTTTTTGTACGTTTAAATTTTTACACGCAACTACCAGAAATAGGTAGAGAATTTCTTTCTACATAAAAAATGTATACCTATCAAATATCGAAATTATGCTCGGTTATGAAGATATTACAGAAAATCTTTATTAATACATATCCCATATTTTTTGGAAATAACGACGTATCCATAATAAACATAATAAATAACATAATAAACTGAAAGGTGGCAGTGATAAAAGTCTCTAATTTATAATAAATGTTCTACGTGTCCCCCATTCTCTTCGACACGTTTCCTTAAACGTTTTATGAAATTATTGAGAATTGGAAACGAATTATACGTTCGTCTAACTTGTCATACGGCGTCTTTTATTCTATCTCAAAGTTCTTCTCCAGTATCAGGTGTTACAGAGTTGTAAACAATTCCTTTCAAATGACCCCAAAAGTAAAAGTCTAACGAATTAAAATCCGAACAGCGAGAAGGCCAAGGAAATTGACTACCTCGACTAATCCAACGGTTTGGAAATGCTTGATTTAAATGATTGAAAGTGATGATCTTTTGTTGTAAAGTGTAACAAACCAGATTGGTGTTTTTAAGGTTGTCGGCACTGTTAGGTTAAAGTTCTGTTTAGTTCTGTATTCAGTACAGTTCAATGGTTAAGTTTTTTCCTACAAGTTAAAAATAAAACAAGAGAATTAGTAGTTTATAGTCTGAGTAGTATCAAACTTTAGGTCATAATTGGAGGAGAAATAGAGGATGTAGGCAGGTCCATAGTTTTATACATGAACCTAGCAATTCCAAGACGAGATGGCTGCTGATGAGCCTCAGTCGAAGAGCCATAAACCAAATGATGGGGGTTCTGACAGGCCACTGCAGACTTAGGAGGCATTTAAGCTTAATAGGAATTGAGGAGGACCCTCTATGCCCGAAATGTGGCGAAGGGGAGGACACCCCTGTTCACCTTCTGGGACAGTGTGCAGCCTTTGGGAGAATAAGACATAAAGTCTTTGGTGCTGAAGAGCTGCAAGGGGTTGAGGTGAGAGACCTTCCATGGACCAAAATCCTGGCGTTCATCAGGGCGTCGGGTAGGTTCGAGGAGGGTCAGAGGCAGAGAGTGGTTAGGTGATAGGACGGCGGGGTAGGCAAAAATGGCCCACTTGTGGCTTAATTACCAGGCTGAGGCTGCCTCTTTTACTATTACTACTACTACTACTAGTATGAGTAGTCAGTAGTTGACTTCAACTGAAAGTTAAAAAGAATTATTGCAACATCTTTATTTATTCCTGTATATAAAAAGAGGGAAATAAACATTTATTTCTCACACGAACTCTTATTTCTGCTGCGACAACATCTTTTATTGCGTGTGGATTTTCTTCGCTCCACACGTAAGAGTTTTTCCAATTAAAAACACCTCTACGGGTAAAAACAGCTTAATCTGTAAAGGCAATTTACGGGAGAAATGTGTGATCCCTGTTATGTAACTGCAGAAATGGTTCGCAAAATGTTAATCTGAGAGGGCGGTCTGGTTCAAGCAAATTTGGTACATGGTGAAAATGGAAACATTGTAATTGCTGCATGTGGAGTATAGTTTAAACGGTTTTATGGCCAACTGCTGTGACTGCTAACAAACGTCGAATACTAATTTCGGGATTTTCTTCTACTCTTTCTCGAATTTGTTCTTCATCTTGTACTCTTCTTTGAACGTACCTTCCATTTCGTGAATTAGACCGAAAGTTTCCAGTTTCTCCTAGGCCCGGTACTTTGAGTCTCGATTAAGGCTTGATTAACTAATCAGGCGATTAGACTGATTATACTTTATAAAATAAATCAAATTATGTACAGTCTAATCGCCTGATCAGTTAATCAAGCTTTAACCGAGACTCAAACATGGGCGAAGTTAAGGGGGGTTTGGGGAGGGCTAAGCCCCCCAAAATTCGAATTAGCCCCCCCAAAAACATTATTACACATACACATCAGAACAGAAAAATAAAAAACATACTTTGACAAAAAAATACTTTTTTGACAAAAAAATTGTATAATTTAATAACTTCATACTTGAAAGTTATTTCAATCGAATTCAAGTCGGCGTCACTGCCCAACAGAAGTCGGAATTGATAAAGAGGTTTTAAAGGCGGAAACGACCGTAATAAAGAACTGTGTCAGGAAATGGGACGAAAATATTAGTATATCCGATATTACATATGTTGTCAGAAAAGACACATTTCCAAATTCTAAGGTCAACCTTGGGTCAAGACCGATTCAGTTCTTTAGCACTTGCTAACATTGAAAGTGACATTTCAAAATCCCTGATTCTAGACGATATTCTGGAAGAATTTATTTTAATAACTTTTAAAATAAAATTATTGGACTGAAAAATTTTTTTTTTTTTCATTTACTTTTAATATTTATGGATTGGTAGAAAAATATGCTTACCTTACTTTGATACATACACAAAAATAAAGTGAAAAAAATATATACATTTTTTCATATTAGGGCTTTAGCCCCCCAAGATCCGATGACTTAACTTCGCCCATGGACTCAAAGTACCGGGCCGTAATCTGGTAAACAAACATTGACAGTGACTTATCGAAATTGTCATGTTATAGATACGTAGTTATTTCCAAAAAATATGATGTGTGTGTTAATAAATATTTTCTGTAATACCTTCATAACCGACCATAATTTCCGACTTTTGATAACTATACATTTTTTGTGTAGAATAAAATTCTCTGCCTATTTCTGATAGTTACGTATAAAAATTTAAATGTATAAAAGGTTAGAGAAAAATATTCACAAAGGGTTGTAACAAAATGAACGCCCTGTATGATCACTGCATACTTCATGAGGAGAAACTAAGCAACAGCAAATTTTGTTCCAATCGATTAACTGGGTTCTGAGTTAAGGAGAAAACAAGAAATAATAAAAGAAAATTTAACACCCTGTTTGGTTAAATCGACACAATTTGGGTTCTAAATTATACCCTTGAGGTATGTAACATTCGTTAGTGTCAATATAAAAATAAAATATGTCTAGAGTAAATAGTCTGCAAGAAATCTTCTCCACCAAGCGACAATATAATCAACCATAGAGATTGAATTGAGATGTTAAAATCGTAATTGACACAAAGTCGCTTATGTCCCTAGGAATACAAAAGCGAACAAATATTTCTTTAAAAGGGAAATTAATTATGAACACCAGTTTATTCAAACAATAAATAATAAATAAGTAATAAATGGATATGTTTTTTTGAGAAAACTGTTATAAGTTTTCTTTGCTTTTTATAAATGCGATCATCTTCATCTCTGTTGCTTCTTCCATAAATAACCCTGATACAATCACAATTTTGTTACCCACTTTTCTCGAACGGTCTGATAACTCGTTTCTATTATCTATGGTTGGTTATAGACTACAAGCCCATCGGCAATTTTCAAGAGGTCATTTGACTCGGCATGAATTACTTATAAATTAATACTACCACATATAACAATAACTTTAGAAACTATGCTGTCAATTGTACGGCCTTTCTATAATAAGACTTACAATATCATATAGAAATATTTTTCAGTAATGCCGTACATATTTGTCGATACAGGAGTGAGAAATCCCGGATGCAAACGCTTATATTCTGACCCTTATAGTTTACGATCATCGAAAAATGGTCAACATTGTTGCTAAAACAATACTTAAGATGTAAAATAATTTTTAATATGCCGTTAAAAATCCATAGGTCGATATAAAAATTATTAATTTTGTTAAATTTGAAAAGCTTATATATTAATATTTTTTCGCAAGTACATAAGTAAAATTTTTTCAAAATCGAAAAAATTATTATTAAAAAGTCAATAAAAAAAATCTGCATTCGAATATTTTTTTAAAAATTTGGAATTATTTTTATTTTAAAATTAAAATTACTGCTTCGAGATTCTAGCTGGCCATCGAAACATCTTCTTTGTCTCTTTTTTCTTTTCGGCGTGTAAATCTTTATGTGGTTTTATTCATGTTTATAACCGACAATCTTAAAGTTGTTTTTGTATCAAATTCACTTTTAAATTATTTTTACTAATTTTAAACATATATTGTATGTCAATGGCTTGTTCAAACAATTTTATTGTAACATAAGTTGCAAATATGCAAATGCGAGGGTACACTTCAAAACATATATTATATTACTGTTTTAAATGTAAGTATTTATGTAACACCCTGTATACCTCTCACCTGAATTACGTATCCTTCAGAACATTCGCATTTGAAACCGCCCTTGAAATTTCTGCAGAGCATCTGACAATTCCCATTGTTCATTTGGCACTCATCTACGTCAATACAGGTTCTGTTATTCCTTGGATCCAGCATAAAACCATTCGGACAAGTACACTGATACGACCCAGGAAGATTCTTGCAACCATGAGAGCAACCACCGCGATTCAGCTTGCATTCATTGATTTCCTTGCAAATCCTCTTATTGGGCCTTAGAAGGTAACCAGGCGGACAGGAACATTCCCGTTTCCCCTCGTTGTTATTACAATAATGCGAACATCCTCCGTTATTTTTCGCACAGGGATCCTCATCGGAGCACTTCTTTCCGAAGAGTTTATATCCTGGCGGACAGGAACACTTGGCCTGACCGTTGACGTTGGTACAACCATGCGAACAACCCCCATTGGTAATTGAGCAGGGGTTTATCTTGAAACAGGTCTTGTCTATCAGTTCATGTCCTGGAGGACATTTACATATAACCTGACCGTTGATACTCGTACAAACGTGAGAACATCCCCCATTTTTCGTTTCGCAAGGGTTCACTGCCACACATTTTCTCCCATGAAGTTTATACCCATCGGGACAGGTGCAAAATGCTTCGCCATTCTCGTTCACACATTCGTGAGAACATCCGCCGTTGTTGATCAAGCAAGGGTTCACTGGTGCGCAAGTAGTCAAGTTTTCTAAGTTATAGTGATCAGGACAAGAACACTGTGCTTTGTTATTAACATTCGTACAAATATGGGAACAACCACCGTTTTCCAATAAACAGGGATTGAACTCCTCACAGTGAATTTTATTTTTTAATTTGAAACCTTCAGGGCACGAGCAAATACGTGCTCCAGTGGAAAAATCGCAAATGTGTGAACAGTTTCCATTATTCAGTAAACAAGGATTCTTAGGATAGCAAAACTTTCCGTCATCTTGTAGCTCAAAGTTCACTGGGCAGAAGCAACGGACCTGTCCTTCGTCATCTGAATAACATTCGTGGGAGCACCCACCATTATTCGTCAAGCACGGATCAGTGCGATAACAAGTCTTTCCCTCTAAATAGAAATTATCCGGACAACTGCAACTTAGAACTCCATTAGAAAAGTGGCACGAATGCGAACACCCACCATTCTCTATTAAACATGGATTTTTCTCAAAGCAATGCGTTTTATTGCGAAGTTCGTGTGAACGCGGACACGAGCAAATAACCGCATGGTTTTCGAAAGCACAAATATGTGAACAGCCGCCATTATTTTCTGTACAAGGATCAATTTCGACGCATTGAGTTTTATTTTGTATCACGTACAGATCTGGACATAAACAGTTAACATAACCATCAACAAACTCACAAAGGTGGGAACAATTTCCATTGTTGATAGTGCAAAGATTTATTTGCACACAATTGGTTTCATTTACCAATTCATATCCTTCAGGACATTCACACCTGACTGCTCCATTGGCATTTACACATTCATGAGAGCAGCCGCCATTATTGGCCACACAGGGATCGATTTTGTAGCAATCTTTCCCTTCTAGAACTTGACCCTCGGGACATTTGCAGACTGCTGTGCCATTTTCATTCGTACACTGATGAGAACAACCCCCATTCATTATTAAACACGGATCCGAAATTTGACAAGTTTCATTGTCTTTGCCCAGTATGTACCCAAGTTTACACTCACACATGTATGATCCTGGCTTATTGGTACATATCTGGCTACAGTTACCGTTACTGTTGGCACATTCGTTTATATCTTCGCATGTCGCATCATCGTTGGCGAGTTTGTAGCCACCATAACAAGCACATTCATATCCCCCATCATAGTTTACACATATTTGGGTGCATTCATCTAAATCAAGCGCCTCGTCACACTCATTTATATCTATGCAGGCATTCTCTCTTTCATGGTAGTCGTAGCCATCTTCACAAGAACAATTAAAGCTACCAGGCAAGTTCTGACAGAGCTGTGGACATCCGTGGTTGGTTTTACACTCATCGATGTCTTCACAATTCGCTCCATTTATAAGCTCGTATCCGACATTGCAAGCACAATCAAAAGAACCTATGGTATTACGACATATATCGGAACACTGATTATCTAATTGACACTCGTCCACGTCTTCACAAGTACGGTTATCTAAACCCAGAACAAAACCAGAGGGGCACGTACATTGCACCAAGCCATTTATTTTAGTTTGTCCATGTGAACAGGTCAAATTGACGCACGTGTTGTTTTGAAGTGTTAATCCTGAAGGGCATTCGCACCGGTAGGAACCGGCTAAATTCGCACAGATATGCGAGCAAGGATTATGAAGACATTCATTGACATCTTGACATGAATGAAGATCCACTGGTGAAATAGTAAATCCTGTGGGACAAGTACAGAAGTAACTGCCTATTGTATTTTGACAGTCATCAGAACAAGGGTTGTCATCCGCCAAGCACTCATCCAAATCTAAAAAATAATAAACCTGATAATTTAAATGGCAAAATAAGTAAATAGTATATTTTTATATTAGGATTAAAAGTGTTATTTTTGTAGTGCGCAAATTTTGTATTTGCGAAGCGAAGCATAGCGGATGCAAAATTGCGAGACAAAAAAGACACTTTTAATCCGAATAAAACATGCTATTTTTTTCTCCAACCGAAGTCCCCCATTTAATTATTAATTTGTGCTTTGAAATTATTCAAACCTAATTTGAATAATAAAGGAAAGTAGGTAAGTAGGATATATCGATGTAGTCATGGATACTTCGTCAAACATTAGTCGCCATATTGCTAACTAAGTTCATTTGTGATTGTTTGTGGTTCAATTTGCTGAAATCTTTGTAAAAATGGAATCTAATGAAGATTTAGGTGTAACTGAGGAGATACTGGAATGTGCGAAAGAGGTTTCTTGGAATCTTCTCCCAAAGAAATCTCGAGAAATTTATGAATGTGTCTACTAACGTTTTATTGATTGGTTCAAAGAAAAAACATTAAGTTGTATTCAGAAGATGTATTGGTGGTGTATTTCTCAATATTCAATGTTTAGATCAACATTGGATATAAAGAAGGGGACTGATATAAGCAAATATTCAAAGTTGCTTTTCTCAAGAGACAAAATGTCACTTGATCAAACTGTGCATATATCAATGTAGATAAACAAAAAGTATTGTAAATATTGTTGAATAAACTTTAGCTTTTGCTAGGATTAAAAGTTAATTTTGTTGCTAAGATACTATTTTTTCTATTTTTTTTTTTCTCAATAAGGAAAATATCAAACTTAGAGACTTCTGACAGTCAAAAAATGTCATAGTTTTGTTACGGTTGGAGAAAAAATGTATATTCGTTATTATTCATATATTTATTATGCTTTTTCTAAGTTTGTATTTCTTACCGGAACATTCTCCATTATCATCCAAAGTATATCCCTTCTCGCATTTTGAAACTTCCTTTAGTAGTGGTTTGTTCTCGTCTTTTTTACTCTCTTTGTAATCCTCTTCTTCGTAATCTTCATATCCGTATTCATCATCATCCTCATCTTCAGTAATTTCCGTAGTTTCTTCGGACTTCGAAGTAGCGGTAATTATGAATTCTTCTGTTACATTATTAATCTTTTGTGTACTATTTTTTATGATTTCGTGTATACCTGTGTTAACCTTACCGATATCTACTTCTGGCAAATATCCTCTACCGTTATTTTCTGTAGTTTTCTCGTTTTTACCAACCTCTGTTTTATTTGTTTCTGATACTTTCTTATCATTGGAATCATAGTACTCATCATCGTAATCATCGTCATATTCCTCATCTAAGGAATCATCAATTCTTTTAATTATTTCTGTTTTCGATGTTACAGTAGTATTATCAGTACTACTAACAGTAGGTGGTGGTTCTACCGCTGTGTTACCGTCAGTCTTTTTTAATTCCTTATTATCTCCATAATTCTCTTCGTAATGTTGATCTTGTTTATTTTGAATTTCTTTCTTTGGAACCAAAAAAGTATTATTATTAGTTTTCCCTAAATTCGACATTACATCCTCATCTGCCTCTTTCCTTGTTTCAGTATTTGATTGGTTTGTTACATTTACTATAGTAGAGCTATCGATATTTGTCGCATTTACATTTACCCTATTTTCGATGAACGTTTTATTTTCTTTGGTAATTGAGTCAACCACATCATTTTCGCCAGTTAGTTTAGTTGAGTTTGTTACACCGTTTTCGTTATATTCATCATCGTAGTCATCCCCAATATTATTTTTGCTGATATCTCCTGTTGAAGCAACTGGTTTTTCTGTGGTTGTTGTTTTAGTATCTTCTTTCATAGACAATTCTAAATTTTCATCTTTGTTAATTGTGTCATATTCTTTTTTATTATCAGTTGCCATATCACGCCCGCTACTCCTTTCCATAGCTGATTTTTCGTGTTCTTTTTGTTGATTTGAGTCTTTCTCAGAATTTTCAATTTCATCATAATTCTCTTCGTCCTTATAATCTTCTTCTTCGTAGTCCCCATCATCGTAATCTTCATCCTCGTAATCGTCTTCGTCTTCTTCGTTAGGAATCGTTTCGTTGTCAGTAACAGACTCATCAGAAAGTACAGCGTCTGAGGGTTCTTTACAATAATACGATCCGACAAAATTAACACAACCAAATTTGCAAACCTCAATTATTTTAGGATTCTCGCATTCATTTATGTCTGAAACATATATACGATATTTATAACAAATTATCTTTTTATATTAATAATGTAGATGCTGATTAATAATTAAGTAGTGGAGTATTGATATATCTGTTATTTTTTATAAACCAAATACGTAAATTGTTACACATACCTACAGTATCAGTTTTAGTTAACCCCTTTGATTCAATTTCTTTAGTAATCAAAGATATGCAATGAACTCCAAAGAATTATTAAAAACAAAATAAATAAAAGACCATACAACATTTACAAAATAAACTATAACAAGATGCAGTTTCTTGAGTAAAAAATAATATTAAACAAAAATACCTAACTCAGCTTTTGCCTGACCCTGAGACAATTTGTTTATAACGCTGTTTTGCACGTCCTACTTTGTAAAGGGCAACTTAATTTCAACTTTTTGATATTTTTCTTTTTGGATACGTTTCTATGGATCAATCAATCAATCAATCAATCAAACGTTAATTTTAGAAGTTAATATCGTAGATATAGATTCTATATCTACGACATTAACTTCTAAAATTAACGTTTGGTAATTAAACAATTAGTTGCAAAAAAATGAACGAAATTAATTAACAAATAGCTGAAGCAACAATTTCACGGTCAATCGAATCGGCATTTGGCACACATGTTGATCTTTGGATTGGCCGTCTTTTCCATAAATTTCTTCAACTTCTACCGTTTTTTGAAATAATAATGCGCAGTTTTCGAAAACTGATTTTTCCACGTTCGACCTTTATTTTACAGTTAACAAAATACTAAAAAATGACTGTAGGTACCTTAATTGTAGGTAATTTAATTACTTACAACGGAAAGTAAGTAATTTTCCGATAGGTCGTTTAGATTTTCGTGGGCATTAAAAAAATTTAAAAAACCCGTAAATACGTGGCAAATGCCACTTATTTGCAATTTGCCAACTTATCGTCACTTCTTTCGAGTTACTTTTTTGATATTATGATTCTACATACCTTTCCCCGTCATAAAATACAATAAAATGTCTACTAATAATTTTTTCAAGTTTTTAGGTTTTATAATCTAATTCGACTGGAGTACAAATGAATATTTATGCCTAAACCACAGACAATATAGCTTATCGCCACAGACTGCGTGTTAAATGCTGGAAATTGGTAACCCGAAAAGGATTCAGGCTTATGTTAGCCGGCATCCAGCTATAAAATTTAGCGTGATAACTCTTCTACTTGGTAATAGGCGGCAGTTCTAGCTGTGGCTTTGTTGCCAAATAATAACTGCCAAATAAATTTAATTCATTCAATTATGTAATTAAAGAGATATGGAACTTTCTTTTGTTTGGAAATCATATTTGTGTTAAATGTTAAATAAAATAAAGTTAGAATTAAAACTATGAATTTACCTAATTAGTTATTTTATATCACCTTGGAATGGGAGAATTCAAAAACTTGAAATTAATGTTTTTAGATGTATGCGTCGACTTCCAATTTAGTACGATATTAACACCTATGTTTAAAAAAATTGCATTATGCAGGTTGTGTATCCTTAGATGGGTACTGCTCTCTTATTGTTAACTTCTTTAAATAAGTAAAGTAATTATTGACACATATCATGGATGCCATTGGTAGTGCTCATATTTGTGACACAAGGTGTTCAAAAAAATTAACACAATGTAAAATTGCTGGAACCTCAAAGAGTAGTTGAATACGAAATTTCTGCCCAGGGGTGTGGGCAGATTTTTTCAATTATTTTTTCGATTCAACACACCGTTTCCGAGTTATAAATACTTTTTTATTCTGTGATGTCACACAGCGTTATTCCCGATTTTTTTTTTTTTTCGACATGCGGACTTCTGACGTTTTTCACTCGATCACCAATCAGAACCATGGGAGATTTTTTGATACTTCGAGTCATTTCCGAGGTACAAGCAAATACTGTTTTTCTTTTCTTTTGTATATTGTGATACCCCGCTCTGTGTCACCCACAGAGTGCTCTATTCAGAACCAAGGGAGATTTGTTTATATTTCCAGCCATTTCCGAGTTACGAGCAAAAATCGTCTTTTTTTCTCATACTTTTTGACATCATAGCTCAATAACGAAGGCTAAAAAGGCCACGTGCTCTACACCACGCTCCCTCCCTAGGTGTCCTGAAGATGCTGGGGAAGCCCCAGAGACTCCTGAAGACAGCAGAGAGAGAGAGAAAAGCCCTCTATGAGGACAAAGTAACTGTATCTCTATCGCACACTATAACTATATCTCTCGCACACAATCAGACAAAAACGACAGAAACGAATTTTCCTTTAAAAATACATGGGATTTATCAAATCAGAATAACCCACTTTAATTTAAAAAAATTTAAAAATTAGGATGGGTTATTCTGATGACGAAAAATAAAACACAATTAAACTGTATTATTCAAATAACAATAATGTGCAAAAGTTCTTCAGGAGTATCGGCAAATTTATTTTGGAAGACGAATCCCGTCAACGAACACTAAAAAATATTATTAGAAACCTTAGGTGGCCAGAAAACAGCCCTGATCCCAGTTCAACAAAATATATTATTAAAGACCTCAAAATTTACCAGTATTGAAAGAAAAAATACAGGACAAAATTTTTGATAATTCTGAATTTGGTTTTGAAGCAATGAATAGTAAATTAAAGCATATTTTCAACTGTATCATCACAATTACTTGCATGTGGATTTGTAAAAATTGTAGGTATTTTAATGTTATTTCGTTATTAGGTATTCTCCTTATGTTGTTGTAAAGGTTAGTTATAAAAATCGTTGTTTGTTATTTCAATAAGGATGAATTTTAATTCTTTTTAATGAATATTTTACTTTAAACCTATATTTTATGTCACCAAATTTTGATGTCAACAGAAATAAAGGGAAAGTCCTACATTTGTGGATGGTGGATTTGTGGATGTCAAAATACAAAAAAAAACTGTACCTACATTCCGCGACGTACTAATAACCCACCTTGTACATTAAAAAAATTATCATCATCAAATATTTAATAGTTATTTATGCAACAAGTGCAAAAAGTAAGTGTTTATTGCACGCGACGTGAATTTGTCCAACGAGGCCGTTAGGCCGAGTTTGACAACACGTCGAGTGCAATAAACACTTTTTGCACGAGTTGCATACAATATTTTTTCTACGTTCATGAAAAAAAAAT